CAACTCGCATTTCTTTCTGATACTGATTTCTGTGCTGTGTCATGGGTGTCATAGTTTCTTTTTTCTTTCCTGTTTTGGCTATTTCCTTGGGGCACAGTTCCTGTCTCTCTTCGTGTACACTCAAGTTCAGACTCCCTTATAAAGGAGAAAGAGAATTTGAAAGGCAAAACCTAGCTGATACTTTGTGTTAATTCCTCTTTACTGTTCGGATTACAATCCCGCTTACATTACAGTGAAAATCCTTGGAAGATACCTGGCTTATGGACTGAGAACTTTCTGGACGATATTGCACTCTTGTGCAGTGCTTCTATTGCTCACCTTTGTGTGCTTTTCCACACTACATATTTACTTTAGGAACTCAGAATTTAGGACCCCACTCAGACTGTGATATCAGAGTAACAACAGTACTTTTCTCAGTACTTTCTGGAAGACTTTCTTAGCTCTTAAGTATTTGTGGTGTTTTATTCCCTCAAGACTTAAAGTAACAGTCTGTTTTGTGTTCTTGTACATGCTCGACACTGAGAGATTTAAAACTTGTTCTTCTGGTAGAGGATTTCTTGAAAGAGCGTGTGGGGGGGAAGTTACGCTACTTAAGAAGTTGTGGTGAAAGCCTTTGAAGAGGTGGTAGGTAAGGAACATTCAAATGTGGCTGGAGGAAATCTTTTGCTCTCGTAAACATCAACAGCAACTTCACAGGCTACTTTGGATACCATCCCCAGGGACGGCGGGCAGGAGGAGAGCTCCGAGGAGGAGATCGGGGCAGCGGCCAGCACTGCTGCTGTCTGTGGATCCCACGGCTGGGAGCTGGGAAGGGAAGGGGATGCTTGGTCAGGCTGTGGTCCCATCCAGAGAAAGCGTTCATGTGAGCTGCTGCCTTCCAGCTGGGAGGTCAAGGTGCTGTAGGAGGCTGGCTAGACCAAAGCCTAGGCCTTAAGTTCAAGTCTCAGCACACTTTAAATCTAGCCTTGCTTATTTATCAGGCTGACCTCTTGCAAGGTCTACTGTTCCCTTCTTTCTCCCTTGGGTTTCTTATGAACTTTATGGTACTGAAGTCCATTTGACTCAAAATTCTTCAATTTGTTTATGACAGCCATCACAGGACTTTGAAAATGCTTGTTGGCTGCACTGCTCCTGAGTGGGTGAAGCCTCCAACAGGACTTCATATGCTTGCTGCAAGAGCCTCTGAAAAGCTAATGCTGCTGCAGGTAGTGATATGGCCGTAGGGTTGTCGAACTGCTGTAAATAAGGCAAAATATAAAGATGGAAAGAAAAATGGGAATTAGTTTTTGGTTGCTTGGCTTTAAGAAATTTCCCTAATTTTGTGCCTTTGTGGTTGATTTGGTGGTTCTTGCAATTCTTTTGATTGCAAATTATTTGATAGTTCTGCCACTCTTCCCTGCTACCTTTATTTTTTTTGAAAGGGTGAAATTGTTTAAATCTTGGATTCAGGGTTTACCGTTTAATTTAGCTAACTGTGTAAAAAGGTACACAGTTGTAGTGGGACGAGATGGGTCCAGAGAAAGAAACAACTGGTTATAAGAAGGGGGTGGCTGTTTTCATGCAATAAGATTTTCACTGTAATGTCTGATACTATTTTGCCTGACACCTTGGGGACAGGTAGGATATTTGTTTAAATACTTTGTGTAGTTTTGGGGGGTTTCCACATCTAGGGTTGTTCCAGCCCTTAAGTGCCAGAAGTGGTCTGTACAAGGAAACTGCGCTGCAAAAATAAATGATGCATTTTTTCTGCATGTAGATCGTGCTGTGTGGGTGAGTGAGAGAGACTATCCATAATTCCTCTGACATAATTAATCCCTTATGCAAGGTAAATTCTTCTTACTGTTTCTTTCCCCTTTTCAACAATATATTAGTTGTAGAAGTAGTCAGTTTGTAGTTAGAGTGTAAAAATGTCATGGTTTGTATTATCCTGTGCAAGATCAGATTAGCATACAAATTCCATAAAACAAGTAATAGTATTGTTCTGGTACTCGGTTGCTGTAGCAAACGATTTTGGGGGCTGGATTTTGTGTCTTGGGCATCTGAAGTGGGAGAACGGGGGAGGATGTATGTTCCATTGTGGTTTCCAGACTGTGGTATAATCAGGATTTGGATAAAAACAAAGTAGGTCACGGCACAAACTTCTACTGAAAAATTGGGGACTTTTAAAAACTCACTTGCAGTGCAACTGAAAGCACCACTTGGAACATGAGATTGGAGGAAAAAGCACCGACCTTCTCCCTCCCCTACACCCCAATCTCCCTTGCCCTTACCCCATGTACCAAACCAAGGGTATATCTATTCTTTTTTTCCCCCTTTTTTTCTACCTTCCAGATCACTGGTTAAAGAATTTCTCTTGCTGGAGGAAAAACAAATCAGAGGTTATACAAAATTGCACAGAAGCAATTCTCCGTAAACCTTGCCTAATGCTTTTCTGAAGACCTTCATTGAACTTTTGACCTCTGCAATGTCATATGACACTTACTGCCAATTTTTCACTGTGTAGGAAAGTATTTAAACTGCATGCATGATTTTTTGATGGGAATTCCTCATTTTCTGCATTACGAGAAAGAGTAAATAGTTGTTTCTGGGTTACTCTCTCAGTATTAGGCCTGAATTTATAGACATCTACTTACACCCTTTTTCAATCATTCACCAGCCTGAGAGATCCCGCAGTTTTTCCTGATGTAAAAGTTTTGCATGCTTCTGAGCATCCTCACCAGCTTCCTTTAGACCTCGTTATAGGGTACTCTGCGCCTTTTCAGATCTATTTCTCTGGCAGTTACCAGAGTTTCACTAAGTGTTAAAGCTGTAGTGAGCTTTGGATTTCATGTTCTACCTTGATCTTTTCCAGTTTTGTTCTACTGATAACGATGAACACTGTGTCTCTCTTCTGGCCACCGCGGAGTAGTGTCCTGAAGTTTGTCAAAGGACCTATTACAGTGATTTTAAGTTCTATTTTTAGTTCTATCTGTAGTTCTTTTAAGTTCTGTTCCCGACTGGAGATAGCCTCTAAGTTACTTTCACAGTGTGCGTGTTCATGTGCAGATGTATTTTCCCAATATATGCCGACTCGTATTTTTCAGCATGAATTTCTTCTGCCTTTCCTATTCCACAGTCATTTACAAGAATTTCATGATGCTGTAATTCGTGGTGGTCAGTAGCTTTGTGCAGAAAATTAATGTAACCAGATCACTTCCAGATTTTCTATAAATGGAGGCTCTGTGCAAAGAGACTGTACGAAAAGAGTTGATAAATGATGATGATTCTTAAATGTTCAGAAGAGCGTAGCTGGCTCTTTTTTTTATCTTCTTCTTTGTTCATTCATGCTTCTGTAGTGACCTGACTGTGGTGGCTGGTTCAAATCTAGTGTGTTTTATCTTTTTCTCGATCAAGTTTTAGGGAGTAAAGTGAATGTGCTACAGCAAATTCTACATGTAGCAGGTATTTGGGGAAAGTTGCAGTTCTCGATAGGAAAGGAACACGCTGTTTGTCTGTCTTCTGCCTCGTTTCCCGTAGTCACTTTGCAACTACTGAAGAACATTGTTTGCTTCCCAGAATTTGAAGAAGAGTCAGTTTTGCCTTCCAAGAAACTAATTTGAAGGAGACTGTCAAGGTTTAGCTGGAAGTGCTGGTAGATACTTGCTGAATGACGAGGAGGAAGAAATGTTTTGTTATTAACTGTTGGTTATTGAGTGATGGTCAGGGCAACTTAAAAGATAAATTATTCTTAAAATGTAGTTGGTGTTCTCTCTATTGTGTGTGTTTAATACTCCAAAAATGTGTGAGTGTTTGTGGTGGATGCATATCAATACAGGCTATATACAGCAGCATTAAAGGCAAGTCTTTTCCTGTAAAGTCAATATACCCGAGAACTGTGGGCATGTAGCGTAGAACTAAATCGCTTAGAAAATCCTCCAAAACCCAGGAAGAAGTGAATTACTGACTTTGATCCAGATTTCTGAACTGGATGTACTTGAAAGTGTATACGGAATTTATAGGAGTAATAAGTTCTAGAAGAATTTGAAACAGTAGAACTTTTTTTTGTTTGTTTATAAGTGGTTAAATAGGTGGAATGGGCCATCTGTGGATGCAAGCAGGGTAGTTGTTAATGTGATGGAGATAAACTAGTATGCAATTTAATAAAAAACCCCAAACTTTTTTGGCTTTCTGCAACTGTGAATGCTGTGTCACGCTTGCTCGCTTGCTTGTCTTTACAGATTCCCTGCCCTGAAATTGAGCAAGCAGTGAGCTGAGCTGTTTTCTGGCCCTGTTGCACTCTTAAGGAAAAGCAGAAGGAAAAAACTGAAACATTTTTACCTTCACTGCTCCATCCAAACTTGTGAAATTGGCTTAAAATCCCGTAAACTCTTTTACTCAGTTGATGATAATGTAGCTTCCAGCACACTAACTTTTTTTTGTGTTTAAACCTTTGCCAGGACGGGAGCAGTTTCATGGCCTCGGGTCTATGTACTGCAGAGGAGCAGCTGCTGTGATCCTCACGTATGATGTGAACAGCCTCCAAAGCCTGACAGAGCTGGAAGAAAGATTCTTGGCACTGACAGACAGTGCGAGTGCTGACTGCATTTTTGCTATTGTTGGAAATAAAGTTGACCTCTCCGATGACTCTGCTTTACCGCCGGATGAAAGTAGACCTGAGAAGTCTGTTGCTAGCTGTGGCTCGAAGGTGCGAAAGCAAGTCCGTGCAGAGGATGCGATTGCGCTCTATAAAAAGATACTGAAATACAAAATGCTAGATGAGAAGGATGTTCCAGCAGCTGAGAAAATGTGCTTTGAGACCAGTGCAAAAACAGGATACAAGGTGGACTACCTCTTTGAAACTGTGTTTGAGATGGTAGTCCCCATAATTGTACGGCAGAAAGCTGAGGGGCCACCGCAAACTGTAGACATTACCGACTACAAGCCAGCAAAAAGGACGAAGTCTGGTTGTTGTGCCTGAACCACTTACATGACAAAAGAAAAGGGGGGGGGGAAATTGTCCGCTCCAGCAAACTGAGGAGTAACAAGTGTTTGCAGTTCACCAGAAAGGAGAAGTCAAGGAATAAATAGATTAAAATGGTGTATGTGAAAAAAGCAAATCTTCTGACCATTAAAGGTTTCTGGGAAGCTCTGTGTATGAAAATGGGAATGTGAGTAAAAATTATGGAGGAAGACTAGCCAGTTTCCATGGGCTCTGAAGACAAATGGTGTGTTAGTACAGTTGGTAGCGACAATCAGTTGAACAGTTTTGAAGGAGTCTGGTTTTTAATGACTCGTCATTTCATGTTGCATGTAAATGATCTGTTTGTGTACTCTCGACGGCTTTCACATGATTATCCTCTTTCCCCTCGCCATTCTAACTTTGGAAGATTGAACACATGGTGCTTTTTTATTCTTAAGGAAAAAAAAGAAAATCCAGGTATAATTTATATTTGTAGCTAATAAATCAATTACAATCTCTATGTCAGATATGACTGTAAGATTCAGAAGCTGAACTATTAAAATCACTGTGGATACATACTATTCATTTGGAGACTTTATTAGTGTGAATTCTCCTTCCATACTGGGCTTTCATGTATTAACAGGCAGCATCACAGCTCTTGCTTCTCTAATTGCAAGTTGTAGGGGGAAGTTTTTTCTTTCATTTTTCTCTTGTAATTCTTTTTAATTGTGGATAGCACAGCTTTTTGGGGGAAGGAAGCCGTTTTCTATTTCGTCTGCATTTTGTAGAGACCTCTTTATGGTGCCTATAGGGCACCACAGTGTTGAATACCTGTGTTCCGTCTCCCTTCCAACTCCTCCATCGTTGTGCCCAGGCAAAGCTGCAGCTTTGATTTTTAGCAGCTATGCATGACATTACCATCTACCTGGAGGGAAGTGAGGACTGGCATTTTCTGATGTGAAACTGGCTAATGCAGGAGGAAGGGAAGTAGAGTGCCTTTTGTGGAGTAGAGAGGCGCATGAAGGAGCGCTAATGAGGTATGTGGTTTCTCTCCTGGCTGCAATAAAAAGGAGGGGCTAATACTCAGTACTGCTCCTAGAGTTTCCCAGCTCTCTCGACTACAAAGAACGCGTGCAGTGACCCAGGAGCTCACACTGAGACTCTGTAACTAGAGTGAAGAACTGCTAGTTTGAAAAAACAAAACAACTCCTCCTCCCTCCCAAAAAACCCCTCCCAAAACCCAAAAAAACCCACCCCCAAAGATGCAGCTCGCATCAGTTTCCAGTTCTGCAAGTTGTTGTGTGGGGGCTCCTTCATCTTCCTATAGTGCTTCTGGCATAATTTTCTAAAACTAAAGGGTTGGTTGTTCCTATGCTTTGTCATTGCCTTTCTCTGTCCCACCCAAATCATAGTTGTTTAGTGCATAGAGAGACAATTCCTAAAAGAATAATGAATTAAATTATTACTAAGTATATTAAACTTTTTTGTCAAAAGCATCTCCTCTTTAGCAACTTGCTGCGGAGTAGTAGCTTTGTTTTCTGCTTTCAAGTTTATGCACAGTACACGTGTAGTGGGGAAGAATGGCTCGAGAGGAAAACCTCTGTACATTTAATCAGAGAATAGTTTGGGTTGGAAGGGACCTCTAAAGGTCATCTAGTCCAACCCCCCTGCCGTGGGCAGGGACATCTTCAACTAGATCAGGTTGCTCAGAGCCCCGTCCAACCTCACCTTGAATGTTTGCAGGGGTGGGGCATCAAAAAAAAAAAAAAAAAAAAAACCCCAACCCCCCCCAAACCCCCCCCCCCCCCAAAAAAAAAAAGCATCCAATTCCTTATATCTCGTTGGCATCTACCTTCTTTTAGTTTAAAACCATTACCCCTTGTCCTATTGCTACAGGCCCTACTGAGGGTTGTCATCTTTTGGATTATCTAGGGGTTTGCAGTTTAACACCTGCTAATCTGTCGAGAGACTTAATTGCACCTGCCCTGCGGTATTTAAAACTGTGTACAGTTAAAAACCTAGCTATTGCCAAAATTCCAAGGCCAGTATCTAGTCTTCCCTCAGGACTGGGAAGAGACAAACAGGCTACAACCTCAGTCTTGTTGGTGACCAAAGCAATCTGCCAACACGTCTGTGAGAGGTCTGCCGCTGGCTTTGCTGCGTCTGTTGACAACTGAACCTGCAGCACCCGCTGGTTGCAAGGTCAGGCTTTTGGGAGATGCCTGGGAGACGTACACCTAGAAGGTACAGAACAGGAAAAATAGTTGTAAATTTAACATCTAACACTTCTTAAGGTATAAATATTTGCAATACAGTTGCACCAGCATTTGATTCATATGAGATCTTAAGGAATTCTTACGGTCTTCCCAAAAGCTCCAACTTGTGTGTTTTCACTGAAAGAGATGACACAGGAACCAGTCTTGCGTGCTGCGCTTTTGCCCTTAGGGCTACACTTGTCTGGCATGATGTTCGTGGCTTTTTAGTGTCGCTGGCTATTGTTCCTTGAGAAATGTCTGGGTTATGATGGGTTGTCACTCGGCCAGCCTGTGAGAGATCATGGGGTTGCACAGCAGAACCTGGGAGGCTGTGTAATACACGGGAGCTATTGATAAGAGGTCAGGAGGAGATCTGGATCGCTTAATGTGCATGCCAGCTCCATTTCCTTACTACTTTCTGAAGCCAGATTGTGCCTTCAAGCAAAACTTGAAGGTTTATGGAGTTTGATGTAGGATTTTTTTTTAATACTTATTTGCTAAGTAATTTACTAGTAATTTAAACTCTGCTGTACCTGAGCTCCATTTTTACAGCCCATTGTTGATGCTCCATCTGCTGCAGCGGTGCCTATGCACGTCTGCAAGCAATCCTTCGTGCCTGCGAGCATTATTAGAAAACACAGTTCAACCCTCAGCACTGAAATTGCAGATTTTTTTTTTTTTTCTGTTTAGTGGTGCTGCGTGTGTTTTTCTTGGTGGGTTTTTTGTTTTTTTTTTTCTTTTTTTTAAACAGCATAGAGGAGCAATACAATATGGCCTGCTCTTGTGCTTGTTAAGTGTCCTACCATGAATTCATTTATTTCCCTGTTGCTTCTGCAGGTGCATCCTGATATCCCAGCACTGCTAAAGGCATTTTTTTGCCCCTCCCCCCTCCCATTTTACTGGAACAGTTCAGCTTGGCTTCTTGACAGGGAGGAGCGGTGAAGCTGCAGGGTAGGGACTGGCAGCGCAGGAACTGCACTGATGCACACTTTTCTAACGCTTGTTGTCTTAATAGCCTCACAACCTAGCAGCCGATGTACTTTTAGCATAGCAGCTGTAGGCTGGGCCACGAGTCAAGCTGGGCCAGCGCTGGGACCCACGTTAACAGCGGCAGTGCCATGCACCTGTTTGATGCCAGCTCCTCTGCACCCCACCGGCTGTAGCAAGAGTTTTCCTCCATCGCTGCGATGTTGCTTTTCCCGTTAATGACCTCGGGGCGCAGCCTGGAGCTGTGCCAGTCATGGCTGTGCTGCTGGAGCCAGGTGGAACCCCTCCCCACCAGGACTAGTGATGGCAGGTGAAAGCGGGGACCCAGGTGCCTCTGCCTGCCCTGCCTGGGAGGGGAACCTCATTTCACAAGTATTTATCCCCCCTCCCCCCCCCCCCCCTCTTTTTTTTCTGGTTTCTTTGAATTTTCTTGAACAGTGAAATAAGAGATGTTATTTTTGGCCATGCTGGGTGAATGTGAGCTATGGGCCTGCCTGTGTCTGAGGTGATGGCCAGGCCAGGCTGTGGCTCGAGGGGGAGGCAGGGATGGTGGGGCGAGTGGGGGAGGACCTGTGCCGGGCTGGTTGGGAAGGTCCCATCCTGCTTCCTGCCCCTCGCAGGCGCTGATGGTTCAAGAGCGAGGTTGCCATTGGCCCCTGACAACCTCAACAAGGCTTCGAGTCTCGTGGGGGCCACGAAAGGAGGCTGAAACTCCCGGGTGCCCGTGGGGCAGGCAGAGCTGCTGAGCTACCTGCTTCAGCATAGTTACGCCCTTGCCCATATCGTGATGGGAAGCACCACTGCTTGTTTTTGCTTCTCCGCTCCTGGGTCGTGGGGCACAGTGATGTTACTTGTTCCCCTCGTCCAGCACATCTTGCACCGACGTGTGCCTAGTCCCTAACGGCTGGGAGGCCGGGCGCCCGGTCCACCTCCGCGGGTGGCTGTCCCTGGGGATGCTGCTGGTCCCCGCCCGGTTACCGGGGCTGCTTCTGACTGTACTGGGGCGCCATCAGCACATCAGCAATGACCCCCCAGCCTCTCTTCTGGCAGTGATCTGATACCTTCTGTTGCGGGGTCATGTTTACGGCTTGCCGTTTGCTAATTTTCTATTTCTGGCAGCCGTGGACAAGCCCAGTCATGTAGGGTGTGAACAAACTCGGCTGATCTGGTCGATACACTCCAAGGAAATAATTGGTGTCAACTGATGTCGCTATGTTGACTTCGCTATATCTGTGCTGATATACTGATGCACTATTACCTGCAGAAGGGGAATATAATCTCATTTACCTTCTCCAGGCTCAGCAGCATGTTATACTTCAGCGTGATTTCAAACAGGAGAGTGTAGGAAGCAGACAGCACGCTTTGAAGCAAAAGATTTTACTTGGTCAATGCCAGGCAAAACACTTCTTGTTTTTATATCCTAGGCTGGAGCACTATAGTTCAGTAAAAAGATTGTTTTGTTTTGCTGTAGCTGAGTTATTCTTGTGTAAAAATGTTTCAAATACAACAAGGCAGAGAGGAAACAATCTGAGATGTTCCTGGAGTGTGTGGAAGACAACTTCCTGACACAGCTGGTAAGTGAGCCTACCAGGGGAGGTGCCTCGCTCGACCTGCTGTTGACAAACAGAGAAGGACTGGTGGGAGATGTGGTGGTCGGAGGCCGTCTTGGGCTTAGCGACCATGAAATGGTAGAATTCTCGATTCTCGGTGAAGTAAGGAGGGGAGGCAGCAAAATTGCTACCATGGACTTCCGGAGGGCGGACTTTGGCCTGTTCA